GGGCCGCTCCCTCCAGCCCCTCGCCCTGCTGAAGCCTCTCCCCCCAAGCCCAGCGCCCTCCTCCAGGCCCCTCTCGCGCCGCCCTGGCTGTTCCTGGTGACCCGCGCCTCCCGGGGTATGTTCTGAGCCACCCTGGGCGTTTCCTGCCGTTGTTAAAAGCGGATTATAAATTTTCTTATAAAAACCTCAGGTCCTCGGACGGACCTTTACCCTCAGGCCCCCTCCTGCTGGTGGTGTCAGGTGCAGAATCTGTGGCCTGTAGGCAGAGCCCTGCTGGGGTTGTCACCGAGCGGTCAGTTTGCGCGGTCAGCTGGTGGGAAGGAGACAGCAGGCCCAGAACCCAGGGCAGGGCTCAGGCAGCTTTTGTCACTGGTTACCTAACCCGGAAAATAAGGCAACAAGGGTACCCTCCCCCGTTTATTTTCAGCTCACAAGCCTGGCACACACATTTGGAGACGAGTTTTTTCCTTGGTGAGTGAAATTGGAAGTCACAGGTGTTTATCAGCAGATACTGTGTCCCCAGGTTGGTTGGCGATGACGTCTGTGGGGATGTTTCAGTGTGCACGGCTAGAGGAGAGCGAGGAGGGGTGGCTCCTTAGGGAACCCACTGCAGCCCTCCTTGTTCTCTCACCCCGGCCTCCGTGGTCACTGTCCCGGCCCCTAAAACCAGCTGCAGGGGAAGCAGCACCGGGCGGCATCGCGATGTCACCTTCCCATCCCGAATTCTGTGGTTGGGAGTTGTCACAGAGGAAGGAAAGTGTATACTTTAATCTCCTTTGGTTGCAAGTCACAAAAAAATCACCTCTAGCTAAATTCTTTTAAAAAGAATAGCAACTTGTCCTGGCCGGTGTCTCAGTGGTTAGAGCATCAGACTGTGCGCCCAAGGGCGGCGGGTTTGATTCCTGGCCAAGGGCAGGTACCTGGGTTTCAGATTTGATCCTCGGCTCCGGTCAGGGCACGTGCAGGAGGCAACCAACCGATGTCTCTCTCGCATCAATGTTTCTCTCCCTCCCTCCCACTCTCTCTGCAAATCAATGGAAAGAATATCCTCAGATGAGAATTAACAACAAACAAATAAATAAAAAAGAATAGCAACTGAGAAAATTGGATAGCTCACAGCAGCGAGGAAGACTGCACCACTCACTCGGGGAAGAACAGTGCCCGGGACAGCATCCGAGGACACTAAGCTGAGTCTTTTCAGGACACTGCCCTGACTGATCAGTTCCAGTCTCTTCTAGTCCTTTGTCCCTTCTCTCAAAATTCAAGTTCCTTTCAGAGCTCGGCTTGAGGGGAGAGAGCAAGCGTGCAGGGAGCTGAGCAAGAGGTAGACGAGTGAGCGGTGAGCGCTCCACCCTCAGCCGTCAGGTGGGGTGCTGCTCAGACAGCAACAGCCGTGCCCGCCGGGAAGCCGCGTGTCCTCCAGAACCCCGCTCGGCTCACTTCTTCTCCACCTCAGCTTGCAGTCACACGTTCATTGACTCATCACGGATGTCCCGAGTATGGACCCGGGAAGCACATGTCAGGACACTGGCAGCCCCTGCAGCGCAGCAGCCTGCCCATCGAGTTGTGTGATTTATGACTTACTGACACCGCCTCGTTGGATGAGCCTTGGAACTGAGGTATAGAAAAATCTGCTGCAATTTTCAAATGAAGAATTTATGGGCCTCCCAGATCAGTTCACCTGAGCAGGGTCAGGGCCAGCTGTGAGGTCCAGCTGTTGATGTGGATGGGACAGGTTACGGGGAGGGGTTAACCGGGAGGAACAATCTTAGCACCGACGGAAATTCCGCTGGGGCCAGCTGCCACTGTACTTCCCGTGATTCTTGATGGAGCCAAACAGCGAGCTGTGGATGACCTCGGTGTGCTTCCTCTCTTCCAGTGAGCAGTGTCCAGTGCGCTTAACTCAAAGCCTCATTCGTACTTGGAATGCAGTCGCACTGACCATGCACAAAAACATGTTGATATTCATCGCAGATTCACTTCCTTTCCCTCTCAAACACAAATGATCTCCCCACCCCTCATCCCTTAGTCCCCTACCCCCCTTTCCAGGCCTCTCCCTCTCATCTAAGAGGGCGGCTTCCCTCTCTCAACCTTGTCTCCATGGGGACTTGTCCAGAGTCAGATGGAGCACTAGCAGTCTGCTTCCTGTTAGGAGTCAGCATTCCCTGTACGTGTGAGTGTGAGTGTGAGTGCATGTGTGTGTGTGAGTGTGCGTGTGAATGCGTGTGTATGTGTGTGCATGTGTTAGTGCATGTGTGTGAATGTGTGCATGTGTGAGTGTGCATGTATGTGTGAGTGCATATGTGTGTGTGTGAATGCATGTGTGTGTGAGAGAAACATCCAGAGTGCAAAGTTTTAAGGGACTCCACCGTCACCTTCTACAAAATTCTCATTAGTGGGCATTCAATTCAATGAACAGTCAATAACTATTTGTTAATTGACTGTCATTCATTTGTTAATGCTACTTAGGGCCTGTTTATCTTGAAGACCTCTCTCTCAGAACCAACCCTGCACGTGGCTGCTTGCACAGGAGCATTCTTGGAGCAGCAAGACGGGACTGTGACAAAGGCAGGAGATCACAGCTCCTCAGACAGAGGCGTGTTTGGGGACTATCAAGAAGACGGGGTAACACACTCGTCAAGGGACTGGTTAAGACCATTAACTGGAAGCCCGTTACTTCAGGAGTTTGGGGTTTTATCCTCAAGCACAGTTTGAAACGTCTGTAGTTAATGATTTTGAATCAAAGGCTTGAGAATGGTCTTGAGTAGGTGACTGGGGCGCTTCAGAGACTTGGTGAAGCCGCAGAACTGAACTAAGGATTCACATCTTCAAGATCCCATCGAAGCACTGCGCTTCCGCGAGTCTATGGCTTGGTTAGCTTGTGACTTCTCACGAAGGAGGAACTCGCTGGTGAACGGCCCTAAATAAAAGTCAAGGTAATGGGGTGGAAATTTAATAACCCCAGTAATTTTCACGCTGACTTGTGACTAATGAACCTGCTGGGTACTGGCAGTCCGTTGTGTTTAAACAACTGTATTTGTAGACCGTACTGGCGTGCCAACCACTGACCACGGCAACTTTTTAAAAGTGGATTTCTATTTCTTAGTTACAAAGGGAATTTTTGCTTGATGGCAGGATTTCTGAATTTCCTGACGGAAGTTCTTCCCCTTTTCTTTTGACAAGTAATAGGGATTAAAATTAATGAATCCAAAGAACTTGGCTGGCCTGTGGCTTGTTATTAGTTATCTTCCTAGAGTATCTGTGTTTTTTGTTAATATTTACTCAGCTGTGACACTCTCAAGCATTCTCACTTAACAGCATTACAGCTGATAAACTTGAGTATTTTAATTTATTTCCATTTCTAAAGGAGTTTACACAGTGACGTGCAGTTTGGATAAACCTCCTTTTGTATAACAAACATATTGTGACCTGCTAGAAGTTAACATATAATATGGTCAGGGGAAATCTATTAAACCTAAATAATTGGGAAAACTGGAATCATAATTCTGCCTATTTCTTCCTCCCTCCTAATTTCTACAAAGCAAAAGACTTCACCGAATCACCAAGTTCTATGTAACCACCTGCATGTTGGGGCGTCTGATGACCCACTGCCCTCCCCCCGCCCACTCCACACGGGGTCCAAGGCACATCACAGTGAGGGCGACACCGAGAACATTGGTACAACAGAAAAACAAACTTCAGGGGAAGTAGAGAGGAACAAGGTTATGGGCACGGTGACTGCAGGTAGGGAAAGCACAGGTCACAGGTGGCCATAAGTGGCTGCTAGCATCCGTGTGGCACCAACTTCCTCCTCCTGCCAGTCTGTACCCACAGTCGCTGGGCTCAGGTGAGCATGTATCCTGCGTCCAGCCAGCTGCTTTGTGCTGCTGTGTCTTCTCCAAGGGTCACACCCACACCTCCTCCCGCTACTGTCCCCTCCTCCCCACCCCCCGGAGCGTGGGGTGTCCTGTGCACACTCCGTGAGCAGCCCCCGGCCCCGGTGCATCGTCCTCTCCGACTTGTCAAATCTTGACTCAGCTTTGGGCTCCGTCTGACCGTCGCAGAATCACACGCTTGCTGGTTTCCATTCTGTGTCATCTCCTTTGTTCTCTTTAGGGTCCTGTCTTCTTGAACTCGAGCAGGACGGCTGTACTGCACTTAGCATGTTACATAAACACCCTGCGTTCTTCTCTGGAGGGACACGCAGAGTGCACACACTGCCAGCCCTGTGGGGCCTCTGACCTAATGGTCCTAGGATTGGGATCCCGGTGCAGTCCTCCTGTCTCTTACTGTCCCCAGTCCCCCCTCCCGAGCAGGACAGCCACCACAGTAAGCATCATTCGGGGGGTTCTTCTAGTCCCCCAGGAACAGAACGGGTCGTTTACACCTCTCCTCTCTTCCTTGATCCCAGGGATCTACTTTCTGTTCTGTTGGACAGTAAAATCAACTTGCTATTTCTTACAAAACACGACCTATTTTCACCAGTCTGCGATTGCCACCAGTTTATAGAACAATCAGAAAACCCAGAGAAAATATTCAGTTTTTCAGATTACTTTACAGTTATCCTAGAGAATCTTTTTCCCCAATTTCCAGGGTTTGTTTCCAAAAATGTCTTAAAATCTGATGCTCCTCATCTGTGGTACTTTTTTCAGACATCCCTGGACTAATTAGAGGGACACTTATGTACAATAATTTATCAAAGAATGCCATCACGGTTTTTAATTGCCAGGTATAAAATTTTACTAATTTATCAAAACATTGCTCTAAGCTTATTAATAAAAAGACCATTTTGGAAACTAGTTGTTATACTTATTTAAAAACTTGTGTTTATATCTGAAAGCTTTGTGGAGTCATTTTTAATAGACTATTTTTTAGAGAATTTTTAGGTTCACAGCAAAAGTGAACAGAAAATACAGTTCCCAGGTACCCCTGCACATGCCAGCCACCCCGTGATCAACGTCCCCCAGCAGAGTGGGACATTATTAGTCAGTGACCCTACACGGACACATCACGGTCACCCAGAGTCCATTGTTTACATTAGGTTCACTCTTGGTGTTATACAATCTATGGGTTTTGACAACGTATAACTGACAATGTATCCACCATTATACTAGCATATAGACTAGTTTCTCCAAACTTAAAATGTCCTGTACTCCGCCTTTCCTCCCTCCCTCCCCAGTGAAATCATTGTTTAGTAAACTTCCTACCCTGAGGTTTATGTCACAAATGGAAAAGTCTGTATCAGCTGGAATGAATTCTAACCGTGAAACATTGAGTTCATTCACCTGAAATGGGTTCACTTCACTCTTTCTGCACGATGTGCTTTTAAGGGAAAAAAAACTGATGAGTAGTTGTGTCAGTTACCTTATTAAACATGAAAGATTGTTAACTTAGTCTTCCAACCAGAATTATGAACCAGAGGGCAAGCTTTGAAACTGCAGCAATCAGGTGCCTGGAGCTAAGTCAGCGACAAGGCAAGTGTCTGCAGCACTGTCAAGGTTGGAAGAAAATGACAGTGACCTTCCTTGGGCGGCTTTGGGGTAGCATCCTAGAACTTCCACTTCCCGCGTCACTCTGTGGCCTCGCCTGGGTAGTGATCAGTGCTTCAGACCAGAATTAGCCTGGGAGTCTCTGCACCTCGAGCTGCTGCACAAGGTATTCACGGCACCTGCACATCCCCATTCTGCATCTATACAGA